CGCCATTTACGTCTTCGGGATTCACGAGCAGCGTGATGACAAGGCCTTCGACTACCTCGTCTTGCTCTTTTCCGACGGTAGCCATCTCTGCCAGTGCCGCACACTCCAAACTCTCAGGCTATTTTGTCGCCATGTGTGGGCGGCGATGATGTACAGCCCCCGATTCAGATTCCACGTAGGCCTCCTGCACGAGCACTGGCTGACGGAAAAGGCGAGGGGAACACCGCAGCAGGACTGGCCGGATGTCGCCCGCCCTCGGTGGGTGGTATCCAACCGCCACGCTGCGAGAGAAGTGGACGGGGCGGCGGGAGAGGGAGAGGGAGAGGGGGTGGGGGGATGCAGCGGGAGGTGGAAGTCTTTCGTTGGGAGCAGCCAGACGGTGCAGACGGTCCTGTTGGACTTGAAGGAGAAGGGGCCCACGGACCAGGATAGACAAGTGTTGTACGCCGACGTAACGAAGAAGCTCGGGCAAGCCGCGAGTATTTTGTCTGATCGCTTTTCACCGACAGTCGCCGTAGCCCTCGTGGACCAATTTCTGACGATGGTCAATGTGCAAGCAGGCGGGGTAGGAACTACAACGACGGGAGGGCGGGGGGCGGCTCTCTTCATGGCCAACCCTGGAACTGTTCGCCTGCCCGCTAGGACAAGTAATAAAAGACGACCTGGCGCTGCAGAAAGATACACAAGAGGGGGTAGCAAGAGAGCCGCGACTTCGGGGTCCCAACTCTAGTTTCGGTGTTGCATACTTTGGGGTACGTGAGTAGCGGTACGCGGCCCTAGGTTTACGACGTCACCGGGGCATATGCCTGAACGATGTTTTGTCCCCCCCCGGCGGCAGGTCAAGGCTCGGTGTGTTGTTTATTTTTCGCTTCGGCGTTTTTGCGCCGATCGCCGTCTGTGATGTTGTCGATTTTGTGTTTGTATGTCTATTTGGTTGTTGCGGTGTAGCGTTCGATGGGGCCATCTGGTTCCTGTCCTGTTTTTATTTCTTTTGTTCCATTTCCTTTTCTTTTCTTTCTTCCGCCCCCTTTTTTGCCGTGTTGGGGTCATATCCAGGTCCTTTCTTTTTTTGGTGGGGGTCAGTCTATCATCAAATCGCTGTTGGATATTGATTGTTCTGTTTTGTTTTTTTCTGCGTCTATCTGTGCTTGTCGACCTGTGTGCTCTGCGAAGAAAACCGTGTGAGCCGCGTCTCGAGTTTGTTGAGCGGGCCTGCGGTGTGCGAACTAAACGATGCCTACAGATTTTGACGGCCCCATGATGACTGACATCCATCACGGCAGCACCGTGCAGCAGGTTATATCTACCAAAAAAAGAATACTGCTGTATGTAGTTCACAAAATCTACAGCAAACAATTGCTTGCAGCAGCAGAAACGCACAACAACAGCAGCACCACACGCGGATAGACACACACACAGAGAGAGACGAGCACTCCTCTAAGTACGGGGCGTTGTGTGTCGTCGTGTCCTCCTGTTCCTCTGAGGCCTAGCGTCTCCTGGGCATCCCGGGTGCGAAGGGTGGCCTTGGCGTGAAATATGTGCCAGTATGGCAGTATGGACTGTTGAGGCTGTTGCTGCAGACGAGAGCTCTGCTTCCGAAGACAACGGGCGTTAGATCCAGGCTCCGAGATAATATTGAATTTGAGAGGGAGAGAGGAGAACCTCTTCGGGGACACTCCGGGCGGTTTCCCGGGGTTTCGATCCGTCCGGATGTTTGGACTGTGGTTCTCTTTTATAATCCATGGATTGCAAATATTCGCGCCCCAAGATTACAGCGCAATTAGGGGGTTTGTTTCTAGGCGGCACGCTTGCAGCAGTCTATTCAATAATGTATATGATTTAGTGTGTCCATCGCCCCGGTGGTCTGGTTGGTATCCTCGACACCTTCTAGAGGTCAGGTCAGGGGTTGGTCAAGGGGTGGGTTCGAATCCCGGTGTAAGCGAGCTTCTCTTGCAAAGAAAGTGAGTTTTTCTCTGACGCTTCCGCTCCTGACGACTCTATCTATCTATCTATGATCTATCTATCTATCTAGTGGATGATAGCGCTAGTTCGTGGTGTGTACACAGACAGCTAGATAGAGCGAAGAGAGTGCTGAACTCTTCTCGCATTAAAAATCGAAGGCAAAGTACCGCAGGAGGGGAGGGTAGAGAGGGGCTCTTCTGTGTGACCACGGGTGGGTTGGAGTAAACGGCACTAACTAGTAGTGCTGTGAGCGCTGATTTGAAGTGAAGACAAAAAAAATAAACAAAACAAAAAATAGTAAAACCGATATTATTATTATTATATATATATATACAGAACGCGCCACCACTTATTTTGCGTGAGGCTCGACGCTTATTGGTTGCCCCAAACCGAGCACATACATACATACATACATGTTCTTATTTGCCGAGTTCTTATATTTATTTGGAGCAGGCATCCACCTACTACGATAAATGGGGTTGTTCTTCTTGTTCTTATTTCTACGCCGACTACTACTACTACTACTACTACATACTGTATGTAGTACTCCATGCAGAGGACGTAAAAAGGTCAATCAATCAATAATGCGGATGGACTTCAACGTGTGACACTTGAAAGTAGAGTGTTTGACACCAGCAGACTATCGTTCAACAGAACCTCCGGATCGAACGCACTGCAGCTTCCGCGATCACTGTAAAGTAGAAGGAAGGGCAGACAGACGCGGCATCGCCGTAAGAAGAGGTATCATGGGCAACAACATTCATTCAACTACTAACTAACTAGCGGCGCGTTCTGTATATACATACATTGTACGAAGTATGTATGTGTGTATATATAATAATAATAATAGTGCTTGCTGTGAGAGCCAAGGGGCCCTCCATCTGGAAACGTCGGAACACCCCTCCCTCCCTGTGCTACGCTGCAATCTTGGTCGCGGGGGGGGCTTATATGTCCCCGGTCGGGAGCATTTTGACAAAATCCCCGGGGTTTCGACATAATTTTCGGGCGCTTTTTTCAGCGCGCGCGGGATCCCACACAGAGAACTACTAGTGGAAATGATGGAAACACCCCAAGAATACGCGTCAACCTTGATCGCGGGGTCTAGTGCATGTGGTGTAGGAATTAGTATGACGACACGAAGCCTACAAATGAAGAGAAGAAGTTCATGGGTTTCAGAATGCGGCACGAAAGTCTAATCAATGATGATATTCAATGAAGAGAAGTGTCGTTTTTTTACTCCAACCCGTGGTCACACAGAAGAAGAGCCCCTCTCCACCCTCCCCTCCTGCGGTACTTTGCCTTCGATTTTTAATGAGAGAAAAGTGCAGCACTCTCTTCTTCCTCCTCTGTGTACCCACGAACTAGCGCTATCCACTATATATATATAATAGGCCAGGAGCGGAAGCGAGAGAAAAACTCACTCACTTTGCAAGATAATAAGCTCTCGCTTACACTGGGATTCGAACCCCCAACCTGACCACCTCTCTAGAAGGTTTCGAGGATGCCAACTAGACCACCGGGGCGACCGGCCTTTGGTAACAAAACAACATTGAACTATATATAATATACCGTTTTTTTTATTGGGAACGAACGCCAATCGACCCAATCGACACTAAAGAAGTATTAATTAATATTCACGCCTCACTGGGTGTCAGCGGGGCCTGTTTGGACCGTCCCCTCCCCCCCCGCCGAGCGGGCGATGCCACCTCTGGCTATGTCCCCCTTGGTGGGTTGTTCGGCTGAGGAGGTCTATGCATGCATGCATGAGGACCCTTCCTTCCCCCCCGCGGCGGACCCATCTATCTATTCTATGTATACCTGTGGGGAAAGGAGGTTACACGTGTTTTTGTTTGTAACCACGGCGACGAGAAGAAGAGCTACAGCTAGCTGTAGATTCCAAGATGAGGAATCAGAGGACGCAGAGAGAGGTCTTTTACAGCAAAACAGTACAGTAGTACTGCTGCTGCTGTTGTTGCTGCTGTTGCTGTACTGTAGGTTCGCTGCGAGGAAGAGCTCTCACCACATTCATTCATTCATCATGCGTTTTTTTAGGAGACTACGATACACAGACCTGCTCGTCGCGTCCGGCGTTGTGCTCCGACGTACATGGAGACCACCACCATGGAAACTTGAAATTCCTATGTAGCTATTTAGCTACAGAGTTGCGTCTCGACATCTTTAGCATATGAATGCCCATCGACACCTACCTATACCTCTGTCTCTCCACCTACAGCAGTAGGACGCGTCCGCCAACTCCGCGTATCATTGTGCATTTTTGCTACTGAATGATGACCCTCGCTACTTAAGTTTTGGTGATTGAAGTTCCGCCCTCGGAGAGAATTGTATTATGTGTATGCTGAAGATACGCAGAGATCCACAGCAGCAGTCTATTGAGACAACGTTGTCAACCAACGCCTGTAGCTACAACAACTCCAACGTGCCGCACGAACGACCCGTCCAGCCACAAAGTATAGGGACACAAATACCAGCATGGCCGAAAACGAACAGGAAAAGAGTGAAAAAAACACCCGAAAGAAAACGATATTTCTATTTGTTTGCGCAACCAGAAGAACCGCCACGGTGCAAAGGAGCACAACTACCAGAGCAAAAAAAATTTAGGACCGCACAGCGCCCCCCCCCCCCCCCCTCGCGTTGCCCATGTTTATCGTGCTCTATATCCTCTTAATCCAGTTTGGCTTTGTATAGGGGGCCCCGTCGGCAAAAAACACCAGTGCCGCCCCCTCAAGTCTGGGGGCGGCAAAGGTAACTTCTGCGTGACCCTCCTGTGTTAATCGAAGCTATGGGACCTAAATAGTATTCCCCCCCCTCTCCAGATTCCTTAGTCGTTCTCGATGACGCGTGGTCAATGGTCTCACAACTATGTAGGCATTGCAAAGCATGAGCACGCCCCCCCCCCTTCAGATCTGGCCCTTAATCCAGTTTGGGGCTGCGTGGTCTTGGATTCTCTCAGGTGTGCCGCCTTGGGGGGCACCGCAGCATGTATCTCGGTGACGAAAAGAAGGGGAATCGAGGGCGCTTCAGAATGGGCGAAACTTGCGCTGCTCCTTCATCTTAGCCACCCGCGCCTTGTCCTGCTCGAACTTGGACCGTAGGGTGGCCAACTGTTCACGTCGCGTCTCCCGCATCTGTTCCCCAAGTCGGGTCGGCCAAGGTGGCGAGAGACGGGGGTGGGAGGCAATCATGTCGTCAGAGAGGGGGGGGGGGGTACTCATAACCGTGCATGCGGTAGTCGTTAGACCATTGACCTCGCGAGGGAGAGGGTATTGGCGGTGATCGCCCGCATCCCGTACCCAGCTCCATATGCCTGGCACACATGTACCTGGGATCACAGTAGAAGTTGATCCAAACGCAAGTTTTGGGACGCTTCGAGGAGATGCAAGCAACTGCTCCCCCCACTCCCTAGCCACCTTTCACCCGGTGAACGATGTCTCCGTGCCATCACACCCTTCCGTCCGAAAAATTGAACCGCGCAAAGCGATGCTTTCTCACCACCACACCCCACTTGTAGCGAAGCCGCGAGTTGATCTGCTACGCTCTGCAAAAGATTGAAGCTCTGCAAAGACCTTGAAATAAAATAAATAACGCCCGTGCTACAGCAGCACTGCAGCCCCAGACAAATAACGGTGAGGTCCTGAGATCGCACCCGGTGCGATCTCACCGACCCCGGTGCGGAAAAACAATTAAATCACGCCGTTCTACTGGCGTCCCTTTGGTTATCAACCGGCCAAGTCGACCGATGCCAACACGACCGAACAAAACCGTGTACACGCACACACAATTTTTTTCTTCCCGACTCCTGTCGGCTGTCGGCGAGTCCCACCGTTAGGAGAGGAGCCCTTGGGACTACGACGCGTTCTACCGCTTTGTAGGCCTCGGTCAGGCCGACGTCCTTCGATCAACCAGTTGGTTGGTTGGCGCTGTTCAAGCTAACCAGAGAAACGCCAACACGTGAAACACCCGTGGTGTGTTCCGCCATTTCGTCAAGGTCTCATGAGGTCCCTAGCTGGATCGTTCGTTCAGTGTGTCCGGCGAGTTCCTGCTCATCCAGTTTGCGGCGGCGCTATCGGTACTTCTTTTCCCCAACAGCCGCAAAACCAACTGGATATTTTCTTACAGACACAAAAACCAACCTGATCTTCTCCCAACAGACACAAAAACCAACCTGATCTTCTCCCAACAGACACAAAAACCAACCTGATCTTCTCCCAACAGACACAAAAACCAACCTGATCTTTCCCAACAGACACAAAACTAACCTGATATTTTCCAAACAGACGTAAAAGCCAACCTGATATTTTCCCAACAGACACAATAGCCAGCCTGATATTTTCCCAACAGACACTAACCTGAAACCTATAGAAGTCCGAGAGTTCACCGGCCCCCTTGCGCTTCTTCTTGGCCCCTCCGGCGACAACGCCATCCGGAGGGTTTCCAGTGCCGCCGCCGCTATTTCTGCCTCTCTTTCTCTTGTACGTGACCGTCACGAAACCGTCGTCGCCTTCCGGGTTCTCAAGCATAGCTTTCCGCTGCGCGATCTCCGCCGACTCTTCCTCCTCGAACCGGAGCATGGTAGCGTCCACCTCTTCCTGTGATACCCCCCCCACCCAGACAGGATAGACAGGATAAGGAAAACGCAATTGGGCCACCGTTGGCGAACGACGCGATAGGGAAAATGTTTTTGAGCGACCTTTGGCAAGGTAGGAGGGAACGATTGGCCATAGGTGATTGGTCCTGTGGGAACAATACTCCGTACCTCTCTGGTCAATGGTCTAACTGCTAAGGCATGCAAAACACGAGTACCCCCCCCCCCCCCCCCCGGGCCCCGGGGCTAAAGGGCCGAAAACCTGTATGGGAAGGCTTCCACCAAATTTAAAAACGGAGGGCCAAAGGGGGTCCAAAAAAAAAAACCCCTGTGCTTTTTTAGAAAGAGAAAAAAAAACTCTGGAACCCAGGGCAAAAAAAGAATTTCACCTGTTCCGGAAATTTAAAAAAAAAAAATGGGTTCAGGGGCCCGGACCTGGGCCCATGGGCGCCGGGGCA